TAGTGAGAACGCAAAACGTGAAAGTGTACCGATGTGTCGTATGCCGTCGAAGCAGGAAGAGTTTTTATACAACTACACCGAAATTTTGCTGGTCAGCACAAAATCCAGTTTCAAACGTGAAGTTCGACTTCAATTGTATAATTTGGAAATGCAGCTATGAACATGGGTTACCGTTAAATAAATTCGATCCACTTTCTTCCATCTAAGAAAAAGGTCGTTTCATATGATGATATTGTCGCGATTGCACAAGAACTACAGAATTGTAATACTGACACTATGTGAAGACCATCATCAATATTCCGCTTTCAGATTTTCTAAGAATTGGGAAATGTCGTTATTTCCTTTCAACCAGTGGTTTCCCATCCGACCGTTAATCTTCTGTGTTCAGTCTGCCAATTTTTCCCAGAACTAGTTGTTCCCCCTTCGTTCGATGTCAACACATACTTATGCTTACCGTCCGCTTATACACGGTGCGAAGTTATGTGTAAAACAGTATTTCATAACTTTTAAATTGGGGTAGAGTTGAAATAACACAAAGTTCATGACTTTTTTTAGCTAGGGTGAATCTTTGCTCACATGTCTAGAGGTTGGCGCGTTATTTATCAGCCACAGCCTCGGCTATTTTGATCGAATTTTACATTTCAGCTCCATTTTCGCGTAACTTAGTAGAAACCGCTTTTTTGATTGCAGGTCTACTAAAGTGGATAATATCCCTAAATTCTGTCATACCAACTTTTAATTGGTAAAACTCGTTTTGAGAAAGTGACCCCTTTGTGTCTCTCTTCTTTAATTTTATTAACTGCGAGATCTAATTAAACTTTAATCCGAGTTGACTTGGCTCGCTTATTTTTAATTTCCGTATTAACCTGGATAGCACTTGTTTTCTTGTCTTACCCTACAAATGACTTGCACAGGAAGAGCATATTCCAAAAAACCGGTTAAATGACGATTGTTAGGTAGATGTGTGCGTAAGTTATGAGCTGTTCACTGAAATACCATTCACTGAAAGTCAGCCGCTTTGTGAATCCAAGCAGTTATTCAAAAAATGTCTTTGCAAATATCATAAATATATAGCTGCGCAAAAATAAGGTCAATGTGGCGTTATGAAACGACAGTACACTTATGGATACTATTTCCGTAAGAGCAGTTTCCTTTTCTGAACGAGATCAAGTGTGCTGATGCATTCTTTAGAAAAACTTCTCTCATAGGCGTTTTCAAACTTCGCTTCTACTTCGACATAACTTTTGTCAGTAAGCTAACATTTATGTCTAACAGAAAATAAGTTGGGTGGGAAATACGTGTAGGTCAAAGTCTCTTTATATTGAATAATAATGCTCCATGTAATTCCTTAAGGATGGGAGCGTAGGCATACGGCTTCTAATCAAAAAGAACTCTATCAAACGCCTGGTTTACAAATAAGATTTACAAGACAAGCTCCGATTTTCAAATTTATATTGTTCTTTGCTTGCGACCATAAAATTAGACGTAAAGCGCCTGACTTCAGCGGGTGTTAGAACATGTTATTAACAGTTAGGAAAGCCCATCAGACCTGATTAATTTTTGGAATGTTATATGTAATGTTATTTTTTGCAAGGCCGTCAGTTTAGCCGCCGTATTCGAAATGATGGAGGTCGATGGGGACCCTAAAATTAAGATTAATAAAGATATCTTTAGAAATGTTTCGTTTTGAAGATAATTCAAAACATTTTGAATATAATAATGGTGTTCTGACTGATGGTAGTCCGACTCATTAGCCGTTTGTCCCAGGGAAATTAAATATGCGGTCTTATGGATTGTGAAGTTACTCATGTCTAAAACATTTTTCATTGCACATGGGGGGGGGGTAATTTTAAATAATCACAGGAAGGCTTTTCAATGATTAAAAGAAAATGCCCGTATGCCTTATTATGTTCAGCAAAAAGGTACCATCTCACGGCAGAAACTACTGTAAGGAGGAGCTATATAGTTAAAACCAGAAAGTTCAACTTATATTCCGGTAGAAGTTTTGATGAAGAGGCTGGCCTTTATCTGACTGTTTACTGTAATTTTGAAAAATGAAATTTATGTCAATCTCTATTCCTTTTTCCATGCAATATTCTATCAAGGTCCTTCGGCGAATTTGCTAACTGCAGGCGGCAAGGTCATTTTAAGTGTCTCTAACTTGTGCACATGTATATGTTTTTCAGTGCAGATGTTTTTAAAAAGAGAATGTTCTTTATAAAATGGTTCCTCAATACTGAGTAAAGTGACTGTCCAACTGTCAGTGCGCGAGCAAATTTTAGATGGTTTAAGAGCTATGTAAACAAAATTTTGAGTAAAGTAGTTGTTTCAGCGAGAAGGAAATGACGATTTTGCATGTCATATATTGATACCGATTTTTCTGTAAATTTTATGCCCTATATAACGATTTTGGGAAAATAAATAAAATTCGGTGCGTTTGAGTTTTTTCAATCGTTGTTTTAGAACCAGGTTTTCCGCGACCATAGTAAGATATCTGACAAAACAGACGCGTAAACCTAAGTATTTAATTTATTTATATTTAAATAAATGACTTGCGTAAAATTACATAACCTTTACTTTGTGCTGAATGTAAAAGTGTGCCTATCTCGAAGAAGCCCATTTTATGTTCTTTGAGGACGGCCAAGAGAGGTACCATTTTGAAAGCTAAGTGTGAGGAGTAACAGCCTATTGCTCTCACCTGGCACGTTTTATTCTGAACCCGAACGTGAACCTCTTGAGCTTGAAAATTAAACGACAAGTGTCAATTAGTCATAAGTTTGGGACTTTATACGAAAGGTCTCTATTGTTTGCTCCTTTCTCCAAAAAACAGCTTCACTCTTCTCATTCGTGCGCGTTAGAAATCTCCAGTTGTTTGGGCTCAGAAAGAGTGCAATCCTTGTTGACCAGCTCGTGCGGTTCACACCCAGGGTCAAAAGAATTTGCGGGGAAATTGGGGCCTGTCTATTTTAAATTTCGATTGCTGGCACCCTAAGCGTTATCATAGCTAATCCTGCAAATATGCAATCCATAAAGGTCATCGGTGATGAATAAACCATATACTCAGAGAACGGCCTGGCCACATGCACTCGATTTCATACGGAGACACAAACTACAAGAACTAGAGAGCTTTTCCGGAAACCGCAGGATATGGCCAATTCTTAAATTTAACTATGCCGTAAAAAGCTATTTTGCGGCATCTGACACGGACGAACAACTGTTTCCACCTAAGGAAACCTTGCTCGTCATCTGTTTGAATGAATAAGTTATTGAAGCCACTTACTCTGCCAGAAAAGTCCCCAACTTAAGCATTTCCACGTACATTAAAAACCTAGAGTTCCTCAAAAAAAATATCTGTAAAATGCCATGTAAGACTTCTCCGATAACATGTTTCCTTACAAAGCTCTGTAACTCTTAACTCCTCATCGTAAACAGATAACTGCGTACAAATTAGTAAAGAATGTTACTTGACTAGTAAGCAGTGCTAGATGAGTCACCTAACGCTGATCGAGCTTGAGTCTCCTTCGGATAAATAAGTGCTTTGCAGTTGGAGCGATGAGGTTTGTTAAGGGTGCTGACAGGAATATGAGATCAAATTTTTTACAGACTGGACTGTTACTGATACAGACCTCAAAGCGCACAGAAAGCGTCAATACTTGCGAGACAAAGTGAACCACAGGGACTTTAAA